GCAGAATTAGTCAAATAAAAACAAAATAATGTTTTTTTCTGTGGATTTATATCTAAAGAATTAAATTATGTATAAGTTTTTGATTATATTTGTGTGTATTTTGAACCCCTAAACGACTCTAACCTAACATTTGACTTAAAAAATAGATCAAATTCATTAATTTTTCATAATTTAATGCAATTATGGTCACATTTTTTAATTATATAAATTTTGTATTATATATTTTTTTACCTTAACGTTAGGCAAATATAAATTTATTGCAAAATAAATCTATACTTCAGAGTTTCAACATAAAAAATTTATGTAAATCTAAATAGCGAACTTTATTATCAAACAAAATTTAATCATAACTGAATTGTTATCAAATTGTTTTAATTATTAATTAAAATAATTGCATATTATTGCAAATCAATTAAATATATAGCATTCACTATAAAGTAGTATACTTATCACCGATAAGTTATCAGTAATATGGGTATAAACGATATTTATTTATGCAAAATTTACATAAACAGCATATTCTTATTTTATCTATAAAGGATAAAATATAATACTTTATTAAATTTTATATTAATTAAAAAAGTATAAGCCTTTTGAAATTTTTTATTAGAAAATTGTCATAAAAAGCTTAAATATAACTTCGGCTCAAATAACACATTCAGTTAAACCGTTGTGTATTATAAGAGATTTTGGACTACACTTTCAATTAATCCCTTCTCTGGTCTTAACGTTTGTCACATCAAAATCGATATTTCATAAGAGGAAGAAATGGCGTCAAATATCAACGATAATCCCAATAACGCAAAGAGTAACGGATTGAATGGCGTTATGCCTAACAAACTGGCCATCGCTTGGATTGACTTTAAGTTTTACGGCTCATCCGTATTGATCTGCAAAAAACCCAAAACAATTCTCAACGATATCAGCGGTTCCGTTGATTTCGGATCTTTGAATGCAAGCCTAACAAACTGGCCATCGCTTGGATTGACTTTAAGTTTTACGGCTCATCCGTATTGATCTGCAAAAAACCCAAAACAATTCTCAACGATATCAGCGGTTCCGTTGATTTCGGATCTTTGAATGCACTGATGGGACCGTCGGGTGCGGGAAAGTCTACACTATTGAAGTGCATTAACGGCCGACACATGACAAATGTCGACAAGAATTCGCAAATCTATTTAAGTGCTGAAAGAAAAATCAAATCATGTTTTATAGTGCAGGACATTTCAGAGCATCTGCTGATGGGTTTGACTGCCATTCAGTCTCTCATCTATGCCTCCAAATTGAAGAATAGCCGACAGAACGTTGAGATCAATCACAGGAATTACGCCCGAAAACTGTTGTCAGATTTGATGATAAGCGACACGGAGTCCACTGATGTCCACAATTGCAGTGGAGGCGAACAGAAGCGAATTGCCATCGCTTTAGAGTTAATGGCAATCAAAAAACCAAATCTCTTGTGTATCGATGAGCCGACCAGTGGTTTAGACAGCAATGCGGCAGAAATTGTAAGTCAATTGCGATATTTGAATGAATTGATGAGAATTTTGATTGAAATAACAGGTGATCCGTGTGTTGAAAGACGTGTCTCGCAAGCATAATATGGCAGTCGTGACGAGTATTCATCAGCCAAACAATGATGTCCTCATGTTGTTTGACATGTTGTATGTCTTAGGGAAAGGCGGTCTCTGTGTATACGAGGGTCCGCCGCAAGACCTCCGCATTCACTTAAATCAGTCAGAGTTTGAGATCAATGAATATCAGGTCCCAATTGAAGTGCTGCTGAAGATTGCGTCCAAACGAGACAACAATTTACAGCGTTTGGCGAATCAAACGGCAAAGACTCGAAGCTATTTGAAGCACCGGTGTCTGGTCGAGGGTAAGCCGTCTCCGAACGGCATTTCCCGTAAAAATCTTAAATTTGATTCTCGAGACATGTGGTACCTCTTGCAGCGAACAATGGCCTATTCGTTCAGATCTCAATGGAAAGCAATGGTCGCACAGTTTGTGTTTATCGTTGGCCTGAGTCTTGTCTTAACCAAACTGTACAGCAAAGAGATCGGAGAACCGGACGGATGTTTTGTATTCGCCGAACAGAGCGCCAACACTACCGCCAGTTGTGGCGACAAAACAGTTGAGGCTCTGCGCGAAGATTACCTCTTATCGCAAAACCTTAGGTTTCAATTCTTTGCCGGACTTATGCTTCAATTCCTATTAACTGTCGGAACGACTCTTACACCGCCAGTTGTGGCGACAAAACAGTTGAGGCTCTGCGCGAAGATTACCTCTTATCGCAAAACCTTAGGTTTCAATTCTTTGCCGGACTTATGCTTCAATTCCTATTAACTGTCGGAACGACTCTTACATTCACGACTGAAGTGAAGATTTTCATCAATGAACACAATAATGGTATTTATGTTTTGTTTTTTATTCTGTTTTCAGACTTATTTATTATATTGTGAGCGATATTTAATTACAAATAAAAGGGAAAATATGATGCAATTATACTAATTTAGTACTAATTGGTTGAATAGGTTGGTACAGTACTGCTTCGTACTACTGGGCCAAAACCATAGTGGAGCTGCCCTTAGCCCTAACCATAACCGTATTTTATGTGTTAATTCTGTACAAAATAACGAACCAAATCGACGAACAGCAGCGACTTATAGGCTATTTTCTAGTGATAACCGCCGGCGCTGTTTGCTCTCAGGGACTGGGCTTCACGATCGGCATAATTGCCAATTCTAATGACAAACTGGCGATAGTATTGGCCGTTGGGGTGTATCTAATGTATGTAATGCTCTGCGGATTCTTCGCACCCATTGATGAGCTGCCGAAAGCCATTCGATGGATAACTCACGGCTCGTACGTTAAGCAGACGTTTGAAATGCAGTTATTCCTCATCTATGGGTTCGAGAGGTGTCCCAAAGGAATGGTGTCGACAATACTCTATCAAAACAATTTGATCGATGAAAACGATTTCTGGATTAACGCCGCTATACTAGTCATCCATGCGATTAACTTTCGGATTACGGCTCTTCTCGTACTATTACTCAAAGCAAACCCAATAAGTATTTCGCTCTCCAAACGAAAGGCTAATAAAAGCGAAAAGGTCTCAATGGAACCGATCCAAGAAATTGGTTATATCTGAGCCCTAGCCATGTCTTAATTAAATCTTACTTAGAAAGTCATCATATATTTTTGCCACCATATATACAAACCATTGAATCTAATTCTGCAAACATTCAGTGCATTTACAGTAACTCCCGTTTATATACTGTATTTCCCAATATATACCAAGAGTTAGCAAATGCTTCGTTCGCTAATAAAATAGTTTATTGCCATTCATTGTGTGTTAGGAGAGGTCTTAAAACTAGTCTCTCATTTGATTAGATCTGGTCAATAGCGACCAAAAAATTATTTACTTGTGAGTCGAAAAAAGTTATGACCCATTATATGATTTATAGCGTATAACTCACTGCACGTCCCCATCAGGACATCACATCTTAAGTTTATTTATTGAAAGTCTCTGTTATTCGCTATAATATTAATGGAATTACTTGTGAACTCATATTAGAAGACCTGATGATATAAGTCATTGAATATCTCACTAATAATAATAAGTCAATGGCTTTGTGTTTATTATTTCATTGATCTCTCGGTTTTAATATATCGGTTGTTTATTTCGCTCAAAAGGTTTAATTTAAAAGTTTGAATCACATAAAGATTGTTATTTCCAATGTATTGAATTGACGTTTAATAGTCTGTGATTTAATATTACAAATGAAATTAATATCAATGTTTTAGACCGCTATTGATATGTAATCTCTTACTTTTACAGAAACTATAACTCAATTCCTATAAAACAATTTATAGTTTCCTATAATTTATGTCTTCTCTCGACACTAAAAATAAGATATAATTGATTGCAATAAAGGAATCGATTTATTGATCGATTTATTTTCACTCAATTCATTTGCCAACAAATAAAAATAAAGGCAATACTTTGTTCACAAATATTTATTTGTTTATTTTATAAAAATCAATTACAAGTACTGTTACAATAAGCAAATAAAGCGATAACTTTATTGAAAAAGTGTTTATTTTTGCATTAAAATTTAAATAAAATATAAATTATTTTAACAATTTGCTTAAAAATTTTTCATTTAACAGTAAAATTCATTTATTATACATTGAAAGCGCAAATAGAGAGAAATGTATTTGAAATTAAATTGAATTCCGATGTGTTTTGAAGTTTATATTTAGAAAATTAATATTTAATAAATAACAAACATTTGATTGATTTTAAAGTCGAAATTAGTTCAAATTTTGTTGTTTTGTTTTATAATATATGTATCTATAAATTGACTTTCTTGGTAAACATTGAAATTATTTATGAATAATAATAATAGTAAAACAAAGTACTGTATTAACGAATAAACAAAATATTCTGTACTTATTGTATTAACTCATAGTCGCTATAATTAATCGTATGTCTAATGCATTAGTATTGTGTGACTAAAACACTGTGTATTTGTCTGAAATAATCTATAAAATAGTATATTTCTATATATGCAACAAAACTAATGAACATTTTATTATCTAATTTAACATAAAAATGTGACATTCAATTCCTGTCATGACATGGAATGTATGATATTTTTTGAAAATTCATTAAACAATCGTTTTGAGCAATTCTTTTGCGAATCTATTTATTTTATACAACATATGTACAAATTGTACAATACATGTACAATAATACGAGCATTTAATTTAATATTAATCACAAGAATATGTCTTTTGCTTTTTTCTTCTTTTTCTGTCAAATAGTTTTTAAGTTATTTTTTCTGTACAAAAGTTTTTATCAATTTTTTATTACATATATATATAATATATATATATTTAATGTCAAGCATTTTTTGCGTATAAAAACAACAAAAATTGATTTTTCAATTAAAACATTTTTTGTTTTATTGATTATAAAGTATTTTTCATTTTGAGTGTAAATTTGTTTGTTGTTTGAGTTTTTATTTGAGTGAAAAGAGTTATTTGTGCGCAAAAGTGAGTGTAATGTGTAAATGATTTAATAGACACTAGACCTGACCCGTGCCACGTACTCGTCCTGAATGGCCTCTTCTCTCGCGTCCACACATAACACAACTGTTGAGAGGAAGAGTAGGAACGCCGCGAACGCATCCATTCCAGTGACGGCTAACATAAGTATATCCTCTTCGATGTAAGCGTTGACCGGATTCTTGTCTTTGGAGTTGTGAGGGTACGCGTGTTTGCCTGCGTTCACAGTCTTCTCTCCCGTCTCACGACTCTGCGAATGACAGGGCATCTGAAACGCCACGTATGAGGCATACGATATCAGTATTGTTATTCCGCCCAATATTATGATCACCTATTTTTGTTGTCATCGTTCGCACAATCATTTCATATACAATAAGTTGCAGAGAAAAAAGAAAACTTTGATTCAAAATCAGGAATAATTGAATTTTTATAAAGAATTTTCCATTTGAATGACAATGAATAGGAGTGAATGGGAATCAAAATCAATAATACAAAAGTTATTAATATTATGGAAGAAATAGAGAGACAACTCACGAGTAAATGGAAACCAAATCTAAGGTCTTCTTGTGTGGGAGAGATGTTAATGAATGCCAACAGAAATAGTATGACATCAGCGCTGATGACAATTATGTGATAGATTTGTATTGTATCGTAAAAATGGTTAATAAATTCTTCCATAAAACTATTGTTGGCTAAAGTGGGCCACAGTTTGTCGTCGTTTGGCAGTGGAAGTGCTCGACAATCCTTTTTGATGATCACAACGAATGAGCCGATCACTAATAACTGGGTAAATATAATTCACATTTATTCAATGCGTTTGGCATTTAATTTCATTTCACATCTAACTTCTAGTGTCATATCATATAATAATAATAATCGGGTTTTTGAAAAATATTTCTTTCATTATGAAAAGATGGCTCAAAAAATTCTATCAATGCTTTGGGAGTAATAAAAATGCAGAGAAAATGAGAGCGAATTGAATGGTAAACGCGTTGGGATTTTATGGTCTAAATGGGCCATAAAAGACATATTTCTATGTTTTCAATGAGTGATGAGTGAAAAATGCCGGACAAAAATGTGAATAGAGTTAACACAATATGATATATAAAGTGTATATACATTGGTATATACTGTGTATTGGTATGAATATCGTGTGAATTCGTTATATAATTCGTTATACGATATCAAACACTACAGAATTTGTTGAAAAATAAAGTGACAGATAATGCAAATCAAATAAAACCAATCATTCAAACGCCTACAGACTTAAAGTAAAAATATATTTAAATTAATGATTATTTATTTCAAATGAAATTCTGATATAAATAAAATTTTTCTTAATGGCATCAATATATTATTCATTATTATTATTATCATTATTATTACTATGATTATAGGCTTTAATATTAAAGTTATAACTTATATAATCTCTTATTTATATTTAATTCAATGGTTTTCTAAATAGAGAATAATAACAATAATAAAGCAATTCTTTTCGCAGAATTGGTTTACAAACTCATGAATATTGTGTGAAAACGAGTGAACAGTATATAGTTATTGTGTTTTTCGGTTATTATCCTTATATCAGACAAAAGAATAACAAAATTCTATGAGAATAGAGAGAATACTTAACAAATAAGAATAAATTGAATTAACAATATCTGATGCCATTCTACCGGCGCTCTCCTTCTCCCTCTCCTCATCCCTCCCTCACTCTCTCAACCTCTATAACCATAA